CTGGTCAACCCTCTTTAATAGTATTTTCAAACTAAACCTTACTAAACCCCTTTCACTTGACATTGTGATACATATGAATGTATGTACATACATCAATTACTGATTAATAAGGCTTTTTTAAACTCATATCGATTGATACCCAGATCTAACGATTCATTTAACTTTTGAATAATTTGAATTATTTGAGTATAGTTTTCTAACAGATGGCTACCCATTTCAAAAAGCTAAGACCATATTGCACTTCTGCAGGCTAGGTGCCTAATTTTACACCTCACTTTTGAATTAATTCAGCTTATAAGGTTAACGCAACCCTTATTTATTCTGAGTCGGTGCGTGGTTCGCCGGGTCAGCTATTGATAGATAAATTTGAAATATCGAAAGAACTTCCAATGCGCTCACACTCATTTCACACACTTTCATGCACGCCTATAAATATCTGAATGCAGCATAATGATTTTGTATGCAGTTATCTATCTATCTGCCTATAAGTATGCATAATGTGACCAACCGTACTTCTTTCGGAAGTACAGTACTCTTTTTTCGCTCTTGTACTTCGTACTTCGCAGTACAGTCAAATGTACTTCTTTACGATATTTTGTACTTCGGAAGTGAGATTCTGTAACCAGTCAGCGACAATATTCGGATCGCTATCTTTTTCACGCATGATATAAATGTTTGTGGTTACAGAATCTCTCCCCAGGTCCTGTTCTTCTCCGTTCTTCTGGACAATCTTCACATAGCCTGGGCGATAAATTCGTTCAAACCATTAAAGTTGGCGGGGACCGATGACATTATATAGGTGTCGTGCAATTGGTTGGATCCATGTATGAGGACCGGGTACATCCCCAAGGCTTGGAGGGTAGTCAGTGTTCCATTCATCCCGAAGGCCGGAAAAGGTTATCATGTTTCTCCTAGGGATTTTAGGCCTATCAGCCACTGTCTTTTCAGTATGCTTATTACAAGAAAAGGCCGGTGAATACCGCTCTCCACACATTGGTAAAGTTGTCAGAGGAAGCCTTCACGCATGAAGATTATGCAGAAGGGGACTCTTCGATATCGAGGGAGCCTTCAACAATGTCACTCCAGAGGCAATAGTCAAGTATATTCATAATCTGGGTGTTGAAACCAACCTAATAAGCTTACTTCGTGACAGAACTGTCGCGACGGAGTGGGGGAGTCAATGGGAGTACTCCACAAGGTGGGGTTTCACTCTCCCCTGCCCTGGATTGCGGTTGTAAACGACCTTCTAGAGGAACTGTAAAAGTGGGCTGTCGGATGATCACCTATCTAGATGATGTGGAACTTTTGGTTAAGGGGCGATTTCTATACACCCTTTTTGATCTAGCTCAAGGTTACCTGAACCAAGTAATTAGGTGGGCGATCAACGGCGGCTGTCGTAGAAGCCTAACATTGAGAAAAGGGTAGGAAAGGTGCGATTGGTATTCATGCGGTGAAACTACATAGAAATTTCGACTGATTCTTTTGTATGAGCTGTCAAAAGGAAGTTGAAGTGGAATCATCTCCACACTTTCTTTTAGACTGTCCAACCTTCGGGAGGCTTAGATGGAAACATTTTGGCTCGCACTTGTGAACAAACACTGAGCTCTCAGGGATCGAAATTAGCCGCATTCGAAATGTCGTAATCGGCTCGCGGCGTTAACTTAACCCAAGCTAACCTGTACTTCTTTGAGCTATAAAATAGTTGGTCACATTAAGTATGCATGTAAGCGATTATGTAGCGCAAATGTGCAAATGACTGCATCACAATTTCTTCTTCGGCTGTATACCTACTCCAGTGGTGGCGACAACAACATTTGTCACGAGTGCAACAAACACCACCGGCAACATTGTTGCTGCTGCTGACATTTTTCACTACGGGAGGGAGTTGTGGTATATATTTTGGTGTGTAACTAAAGCATGTATTACATATTTTATGTATCTATTTAGTATGTATCAGAAAGTTTAGTAGTATTCATATGTTTATCCAAGCACATTTACATCTTCATATATGTATATGGAGAAATGTTAGCAATTGTGTCGCCCTATTGGGGTCAATGTGATACTGACTAGAACAATATCGTCATACAGACGCCAAGTGAAGTCAAGCTGACAACGCAAAACGAGTTGTGGCAGCGGCAGAAAATGAAAGGTGCGGGACGAATCAACCAACTAAGCAGGCAGGCAGGCACTTATGAAGTGTTCCACTTCTTTGAGGAGGTAGCATGTTATGGCACAATATTTATGCTTATTTTTCGCTTTTGTTATTGCCGATTCTTTTTGAATTCGAAGTGAAGCTAGCGCTGACAAAGTTTGACTCACATACAAGGTTGCCACATTGGTAAATTGTTTGATAGAAAAAATTTGGGCTGGTAAGAAGATAATTTTTTTCTCATTTTGGTAGATTTATGTTGAATTACCTTGTTTGAGAAACAAATAAAACTTTTCGTTCCCGTTTTATTTTTCGCAGTTATCTTTTTAATACAAACATTTTTTCAAAAGTGCGGTCTAATTTATTGCATTAATTTTTGAACACTTTAATGCACACGTTTTATATACATACGAATAAATATATACCGATAAAAGGCGAACAGATCGTGCTCCATTCAAAACTCTTTTTACTGGAATTCTGAGGAGCTTTTGATTACCTAAATATTTTAAATGATTTTTTAAATAAAAATAAAAAACGGACAAATATGTAATTATGCCCTTTGATTTCTCGCAAAGAAAATTAAATCAACGTAATTTTTTATCAATGGCAATTGTTAAATGAAAATAAAGACACACAAATACTGGCGGAAAAAAATTTAAAAACACCAACAAGAATTTTTAGCTGCACATTGTTGGTTATGCTCAAATATTATTCGGTATAAAACTCCAAACCTAAAAATTGTTAAAAAAATTCAGAGTAGAGTTCGAAATTTAGACGAAATTTTTTTGAATTTTTCTAAATGTATTTAGCTTGAATACTTGATTTTTTATCTTTAGTAACTCTAGTTGGAGATTTTTCAAATGATGTAGTTTCGTTGTTGCGTTTAGTTCCATCACTTTCCTTTTGGTTCAAGGAAACAGAGAAGATGTCATTAATATAATCCCAAATACCGTGTAATTAGTTAAATAAAAAGTTCTTTAACCAAAATTTGAATTCTTATTGAAATAACTGAAAAAATAACAAAACTATAGTTTTTATTACAATAACTAAAAAAAGTGATTGGTAGATTTTTTTTTTCAAATGGATGGTAAGTATTTCTTTTTTCGTCAATCGCAACCCTACTTACATACGCAATGTTTGTGCCGGTGACTCAGCGAAAGAGTATTCATGTATGTACATTAGGGTGGTGCAAAGAAATTAAAGTCGGAATTTTAATACTCACACCCCCTTTGATTTTTCTATATCGAAAAAATAAACCCCATGTGTTTTTTTTTGTAATAAATGACAGGTCCCCGAACACGCTCAAGGTTTCCAATGTATTTAAAATTGGAAAAAAAAATATTTCGTGGAATGGTATAGCATCTTCGAAAATCTATATTTTTCAATCGCAAAACTCTGTTTCTCTTCATAAGACTTCCAATTGTCCTAATCTAACCTTTTTTTAATATTTTTTATGGGCCCACCAAAAACTCCAAAAAATGCAATGGCTGACCCATAAACTAAATCGTTAATATAAAAAAACACATCTACATAAGCAATTTGGTATTATTATTTAAAGTATATTGAAGAGAAACAGAGTTTGAGATTTCTTTGAAAAATAATTTTTCCCCTTAAAAATACATGGGAAACGTTGAGCGCTTTAAGCGACCTCTAAATACTTGTTGATAAAAAAATGGGGTACATTTTTTTTCAATATAGAGCAATCCTAGGGGGAGAGACTTTACTTTTATTACGTGTATTTTTGAATCACCCTAATGTAAATGTGTACGTGTATATGCAATGCATGTAAGTTTGTAGATCTCTCTATTTTATATCTTGCCTACCCCCAACCATGGCTGCAGTACTTAAAAATTTGTACAGCTTTTGCAAAGCGCGTATGAAAAAAAATTCTTTTTTGGTAATGCAAAGCCGCACTATGGCAGTAAGGGGAAAGTTTGTGGACAAAAAGCAAAATCTTTTAATCCAAAGCAGAACACGAGAATATTATACAGATATCAATACTTTGACCTTTTGACTTTCAAATTCAATTAAATAAGAAGATTTTAAGTTTTGCTCCTTTATGCAGGTCACTTTTCGATCTTTGAAATCGAATTAAAAATAGCCATTCAAAAACTCATAAATCTACAAAATCGTATTTTCTGACCTAAATCGCAAGGTCGCGACCTCTAAATGACCTTTAAAAAATCTATAAAAATAGGCAATAATATTTCTCATAAAAAAAAATAAAATTAGGGTGTAGGGTCTAGATTTTTCCAAAAAAAAAACATTTTCGATGAGCACCCTAATGTACATATGTATTTATGTACAATAAGTATGTACATCCCCATGCCAACACACTACCACGTTGGGTAAGACCATTCATTGCTTACACTCGAGTTCTCAGGAGCGCGCTCATTGCGCACTGAGCATTTTCTGAGTGCTATTTTACCGCTTGGCTCATAGCTCCAATTCTGGCTCATAGCTTGTTTGGCTGGTTCCCGGTTCATTGGTTGCTTGGTTGGCTATGGCTTTGACTAGCTGACTATGTGACTACTTGCCCTGGTTGCTTTTCGATGGACTCTGAGTCTTTCTTTTTCAGGTTTCAATCGAGTTGAGCATTTGTTTTGAGACGGGCGCGCGAGCTACACTCTAAGCGGGGTTGCTGGCAGTCATTCACAGCCGCCAACAGTAAACAGAACCACAGCAGCTGCCTGCCTGCCGCCCTATTGTGTTGAGGTTGACTACACGTTTTTCAGTGTGTTTTTTACTTTACGGGAGGTTGGCTTTGTGAATTGGTGGTCGCATTTCGAAACTAATGCATTTTTTATTGAGAAAAAAAAAATCACTGGCTAAAGTTTGTAATGAAATATTTAAAATAAAAATGGTGTTAATTTAACAATTGTGTGTGCAGCAAAAATTTGCAAACGAAATTATTTAAAGTCAGCAAAATGCTGTGCTAGAAAAAAGTGTGTACAAATATATGCATGTATATGACACACACATATGTACATATGTACATCTATACTTTGTACGTCTTCAAGCAATTTCACAGCCAAGCCTGTGTTTTTGATTTAGCTAAGAAAGCTCTCCTCGCTTAACTCTCTTCTAAATACGTGCATACATACGTACGTACGTACTCCCAAAACCACGTTTGTGCATTCGTATGTACGTGAATTAAAACTTTAAAGAAAAAAGGTGTGGTTGTGTCGTCGCCGTTTTGGTGTGCTCTCTGCTTCAAGCCATTGGAAAACTTCACTTGAATTGGCTGGGGACTATTTCGTCTTGTGTATTTCTGCTGGCGTTGCTAAGTATTTGGCAGCTAGAGTCTTGGGCTTCAAATTTGACTATATTGAGCGGGAGTGGAAAAAAGTAAGCTTAAACTTAGTCAGCACCTGCAGGTGAGAGCAAAGTGCGATAACACCCGTGAACCGTGATAATATTTGGAATAATTGAAATATTTGCCAAAATACTTGCTGCTAATAAAAGCGTGAAAGTAAGAAGAGTGCGGCAATAAAAAAAAAAACTGTATGAAAAAGTGGGAAAGATAACCAAAACAAAATTTATCTATACATACATATGAAAAAAAAACAAAAATCTTAAAACACTGTTTTTTTTAACTTTCAAAAAAACTTAATATATCAACAATAAAAGTATATGTATCTGCAAATTAAATAAATTAAAGAATTTAAAAGTAACAAAAAACGCCACACGATTTAAAATCCTATACCTAATAAAGTATAAACCGTCATAAAATTTTTCCAAACTAAAAAATTAAGCAACTAAAAATTAATTGTACAATTTAAACTAACCAAAAACGAAATCAAAAATAAAAATTTTACAAATTTAAAAACATAACTAAAAAACTCCAGCTTATCAAAAGGTTTAAATTTAATTTAAAAAATAATTAAAATTTAATATGAAAAAAAGTTTACCAAAAATAAGTTGAAAAATTATAAAAATATAATTAAAAAAATAATAAAAAATGCTTAACAAGCGATAATATTTAATCTAAAAAGAAAAAATATTCCAAAGAAAAATAGTCGTTTCTTATTTTAAAAGTGTAAAATTATTAAAAAAAAAATATTAAATAAAAAAATTTTACTTAACCAAAAAAATATGTGTATGTAGGTACCTACTTATGTACGTACACTAAAAAATAAATCAAGAAACTGAAAAATTAGTAAAGCCTAACTAAGCAAGCTAAGCTTATTAAAAAATTAAAATTAAATATAATAAACCAATCACCATTTAATATAAAAATTCAAATGAAAAATTAGCTTGAAAACTAGGAAAATATAACCAAAAATTAATAAAAAGATGGTTAGCGATTTAATATTTTATGTAAAAAAGAAAAAAAAATCTTAACAAAAATAGATACGCTTTACTTATTTTAAAAGTGCAAACTTATAAAAAAATATTTATTGTAAAGTTTTAATTTAGCAAAAAAATACATATGCATACATATGTATGTAGGTACCCACATATTTATATATGTACATTAAAAAATAACTAAAAAATTAGAAAAGCTTAACTTAAGTTAAGCTAATTAAAAATTTATATTTTGTTTATTGAATATGAGAACACAATTCAAAGTTAATATGAAAAAAAAAAACATTACATTGAAAAATTAGGAAAACATACTAAAAAATTCAAAAAACACCAAACGATTTCAAATTTTTTGTAAAAGAGAAAAAATTTCTTTACTTACTTTAACAGTACAAAATTATTAAAAAAACATATAAGTTGGAAAAATTTAACCTGACAAAAAAATAAATCAAGAATATATAAATTGAAAAATTTGAAAAGCATACTAAAACATTTATTTAATTTGAAAATTTAAATTAAATATGAAAAAATTTAAATCAAAACTAAGTCGAACAATTATGAAAATATAACAAAAAAAATCAAAATAATAATAAGCGATTTAAAATTTTATAGCAAAATTATTTGTTTAATTTTTTTATTTATTTTAAAAATACAAAATTATTTAAAAAGATATTAATTAAAAAATATATAAAATAATATACGTCCGTTGAAAAACAAATCAAGAATATGTAAAAGTAATAAAAAAACAAAATTTAAAAGGCGATTTAAGATTTAAATTTTAATAGATGCATATTTTTAAAACTTAATAAATTAAAAAAATAATAATTTTTTTTTTTTTTAAATTAAACTTAACATAAGAAATATACAGTGACTCAAACAAGTATTCACCATAGAATTTTTTTAATACATACTCACAATATTTTTCAAATAAAATTTTTTCTGTTAATTTTTGTATAAAAAAGTGCTCATGCTATAACCAAATCATATACATAAATCAAAGTTTCAAATTGTATACAAGATTTAGAAAAAGTGAAAAAACTTGCCAACTTTTTAAAATTATTTTTTTAGAAATTGTCTTCCATAAGAAATTCATGTTTAAATGAAAAAAAAAACCGCAAAAGACCAGCAGCAAAACAAGTTAAAAATCAGAACGATTTTTAGCTGCTTGGAAGTTTTTTTTTACTACGATTTTATGGGCTATAAAACTGCACACCCAACAATTTTTGTAGAAAGTCAGTTTCAAAAACTTAACATTTTCGTTTCAAGAATATGTCGGAAAAAACTTCAAGCGATTTAAATCTTTATTTTAAGAATAAAAGTAGCACATAATACAAATTTTTAAACTTAAAAAAATTTATAAAATTCAAAATAAATACAATAACTAAAAATCTGAAATACTGGAATTAAAGAAAAATTTTAAAAACTTAAAATATTTAAATTAAAAAAATACCCAAACTTAAAATTTATACTAAAATTTGAAAAATAATACAAATAAAATAAATGTTTTGAGAAACTAAAGACATGAAATTAAAAAATATGTTCAAAAATATTAAGCAATGGAAATAATGAAAAAGTTTTCTGTGCATACTTACATACAAACATATGTATGTATGTATGTACAAATGTTGCTGACAAAAGCATGCGCTGCATATTACAAACATAAAAAATATATGTATATATGTATGTCTGCACATACATACACCGAACTCAAACCTCATACATCGCAGTCACTACGCGCATAGCACTCATTTTATTTTGTTTATTTTTTGGCAGCGCACAGTGGGCCAGAAGGTATTCAAAAACGGCCAAAAGTCATCATTAGAAATTTAATTTTTAATGTTAATAGCCAAAAAAACAGTATTTCAGGTAAAATATTGTAGCAATTGCCTTAATATTGTGGTCGCAATTTTATTTTGAAATTTACCAAATCCAATGTATAGTAAAATTAAATTTTTCTTTCCAGTAAATAATAAATATTTTCCTTTTGTATTTTTTTTCTTATCAATAAGATACAGTAATATAAAAAAATATAAAAACGTAGTTCGCAATAGCCTACTACATTTAATGTAAGCGACTACAGGCGTATTTTTTATGCCGGTCGTAACGGTTTTGCCATATCCTATTTTCGAAATGTAACTTCACGTTTGTGATCAGTGAGCTTAGGAATTATAGAGTAACAAGTTTCAAGCCGATCCCATTACTTTTTGCATTATTGTCCTCCATATTGGATAATCCATTTTGAATCGTTAGAATCAAACTTCAAACCTCTCTTGTAGCAAGTTTTAAGCCATTCCGATAAGATTTCGTATATTGGGCACTTTTCATCGTTTGGTGGCCCATAGTGCAGCGCCTAAAATGTCTTGACTTTACGTCATTTGCTTTGAAATTAGTATAAATATGTATGTACATACTTATTTTATAAATTAAAAATAGACGCAGTTGCACTTTTCTTAGCATTTTTGCACTGCACTTGTGGCTCGCTGCTTTTAAAAGTGCAATTATTTAGCGAATTCACGGCCAAAAGCATGCAATCACAAACAAACACAAACTTACAACCAACGCCTTACATCCACTCGCCACACTCACATCCAATGTCGGGCAATAATAATTCCGAAAATCGCGCCAGAGGGTCAGTTCAATAGTGGGGCTGCGACGACGAACGGCAGCCAACGCGACAAAAGTTCGGAAGACGCCGCCTATCGCTTACAGCAGATTTAAGAAATCTAAAGGCCAAGAATTCTCACTGTAACGCTTTGCTGTGTGTTATTGTTGTTGTTGTTTTTGTACAATTCTAATTTTCCAAATCTCTATTGGTGTCGTCTAGCAATGTCTTAAAGCATTATTGGCTGCTTGCAGTTAGCTTCCTAGAGTGAGTGACCCTCATCGGTTGACAACACACGCGCGCCATCGCGGAAACATTACGAATACATACTTTGTTGCCAGCTAATGTAATTGAATATTTGTTATATTACATACCATTTGTACTTATGTTTTATAATTACTGAAATAGGAGCAGCAGCAAACTTGCATAAGTGTACAGATACATATGTAAATAAATGCAACTTTGATAAAAAAAAAGCTCAAAAGCAAAATATTTAAAAATTTGTGTAACATTGTAAAAGTTCTGTGTGTAAAAGGTGTTAAATTATAAAAGAAAATAACGAGCTTCAAGCTCGCCATTGTCATAATATAAGCCCACACTCAAAACCAAATATAAATACTACAAAACACAAAAATGTCCAAGCCAAAGCCCATGGAGATGTCCAATATGGATGTGGATTTCCACGAGCGCAAAGCAGAGCCCTTTCGGTTGGGCAGATTCCTGTACAACTCCGAAGAGGGTACTGTGATGGGACGTGATCGCACTTCGTGGGGTAAGTTTATAAGAGAGTTAAGATAGGACTCAGCATAAGATAAAGAGAAGAAAAAAAAATAGAATAAAAGTTAGCAAACCCTGAGGTCTAACGAGCCATTCAATGAACTTTGGAAGCTATGAAAAGCGCAGTCTGAGTTACGAAACCCCTAAAGGCGCATTCATCGTTCTAGTTCTAGAACTAAGATTGAAGTGGAGTTGACAACTCAACAGCGTTTAGAACTTTTCTCAGTTGCTCTCCCAAAAAGAGAGAAATACAACAGCAACCACATGGAGGAAAAGTTCTGGGCTAGAACTGTGAATACGCCTTAAGTATTTTAAAGACCAAACTAAAAAGAAAATTCTTTTTGATTGTTTATCCTTCCGACAGTACAGGGGTTTGATGTTGTTTGGAAAAAATTTCCGCCAATTTTGGTTTGGAGAGAAACCGGTTGGCGGTTGCCTTCTTCCAGTGTCATTCGAAGATTCGTTCGAAGATACATCAAAATTCTTAACTTTAAGTTAATATTCTTTAGCGATGCTTCCTTGAAGTACTGAATTTGAGAAATGATTCAAAATACAGCCAGCCACTAAAGCGATCTGATGTATTTCCACTCTAGCGAAGCATTGGACTGATGAACAGATGGTTCGATAACTTTAGATGGCGTAGTAGAATATAGTTCTTTATATTCAGAACAAAGATTTCAATGACTAAGGAATAGAAGAACATAAATGAATGATAGGTAGAGATGTAGCAACTGAAGCAAGAATCCAGTAAACTCAATCATGAACAATTGGAAATCGAGGAGAGTTTCCTGCTAGGAATTTTCCATAATACTCAAATTTATGATGCTGGATGCTACGTCGTTTTAGGTTTAAGTAGACTCTGCCATTAATGCAGTCGACTGGCTATATACGTACATAAGTGTGTACTAGTCCGATACTTTATAAAACTGGTGATATCAATCCTGATAGCTTATACAAAGAAACAACTACTTTGATTTTTATAAAGTTTTATAACCTACTCTGTAAAGATACAAAAATGTTAGACCCCATCTATCTTTTTTATATTAAGGTGTACTTTATAGAAAACTTGGTAATAAGAATTCCTATTTTAGAAACATCAGTTCAAACGAAATGTTATATGAATGTCTGAAAGATAATATCCTTTTGCCGTATGTCGTATAATACCAAATATCCTCACAGAAAATTAACTAGAACTATGAGATCTTATAGGCAGTTCGTATAACCGACATGAGACATTCAGCCCTATCGCCCTAACATAATTGAGGTCATAGACAGAAGGCCAATTGTGTTACCACAGTTCGACACCGTTCAACTATCCTCCCTGTTGAACCACTTCGTGCCGCTGATGAATCTCATCAGGTACCTTGCATCGGTATCTGACACCTCCCTAAAGTCGGCCTGCTTCTGCACAGTGCAGAAATGAAATGACAAAAAATTTATGTAATTTAAAAAATGCCATGTGAAAACGAATTTAATGAAAATTTTTCTTAACGTAATCACACAGGCTTTTTTAGTATCCAACTTTGTAATTAAAAATTTTGTAATTTCATACCTAGTGGAAATCCGGCATAAATTTGTTTAAAAATTATAAAAATTCAACAAGATATCACCAAAATTTCAGTCTTGTTATAAGGAATTTGTATAGCCCATTTAATTTTAGTAGAATAAAGTGTAAGTTTCAAGTGCCTACAAAATACCGCTCATTTTTGATATTTTTTTTTTTTTCAAAGGTATTGCGATTTTCATCCATATAAAATAACTTCCTTTTATTCGTTATATGGAAGCAAATGCCAAACAAAAGACCAAAAAATCAAGGGTCATTTTTAGCCACATGAAACTGGCACTTCCTCCTACTAACATTTAATGGGATATATAAGACTGGGTACTTAAAATTTTTTTCTAAGCAAAAAAATTTTTTTGAATTTTTATAATTTTCTTTCAAAGTTTGAAATGCGCATTTGTATGCGGTTCGAAATCTACCCAAAAGTGGTCAAATTAAGGCGTTTCTACTATTTCTGCCACCACTGTATATGTGTATAAAAATAAGAGGCTCTGTAATTGAGATCATATTCAAATATGTATAACCTTTATCAAAACCTTGATTTGTTAATTAAACAAGAAATTTTTAAGCAAAATTTCAAACCGACTTCAATTCTCATATAAAAATTAAAGAATACCGGTAACTTCTTCATGACGCAATGATCGAATCTAAACCAAACTAGTATTGGACCACCTTTAAGCGACCTCCTTCTCTTAAAAAAAAAAGAATTATAGAAATCGGTTAAAGTGGTCCAAGGTACATAAAAAAAAATATTCCACGCATGTATAACCTCCTCCTCTTTTTGAAGTTAAAAAATTATTATTTGAAGGAGCTCTTGATAAAGAACGGTATCCATACTTAAACCAGTGTAGCCAGGAGGCACTATTATTTAAGTGGTTTGTAATAAATTATTTAAATAAGGCAAAAAAAAAATAAACTTTTTGAAGATTTGGACGAATCGTAAGTCTAGCCGAGTAGACAAAAACTGCATACTCAGAATTTAAATGTGACACTTATTTTGGCTTAGGAGTTCAATCCCCTCCTCATAGGCCAACTCACGGAGTCGCCATCAGACAAAAAAAAAATATTAGCAGTTTTACCATAAGGATTACAAAACTTGAAAAATGCTCAAGTGGATTTTGATTAGGTTTATTTTTCCAAAAAAAAAAACGGTTCGGTTCGTCGTTCGGTTCGAATCGCGAAAAAGGCAGCAGTTCAGTCCAAACCCGGTTTGCAGCCTTGGTTTTCTCTCAATACTCTATCTTGTAGAGAAAACATCTTCAGCAATTATTTCGCTTACGTAAGAATGGGGTATGTATGTAGATTAAGGTGGTCCAAAAATGCATGTGGAAAAAGTAAGATCCGAATTTTAATGCTCTCACCCTCTAGGATCGAAAAAATATACCCCTGTTTTTTTATTTCGAAATAAAAATTTTTGGGGTTTTTAAGGGACTTATGAAAAATTGTTAATATTGAAGAATGGTTAAATAAACCATTGGCTATTGTTACTGAAAGTCTCCTGAAGAGCATGAAAAACCCTGTAAAAATTTATAAATTTTTTTAGCAACTCTTGTGTGGCGCTTGCAAAATTTAAGTAAATTATTTTTTTTTTTTGTCAGACAATAATTAATATGTCGTCTGTTGCCTCTATATTACACAAAAAAAAGTTCAAGTTTGAATAATTTTGAAGGGAACGAATTTATTGAAAAATCATATAAAATCCTTTTCGTAGCGCGTTCAATTTCCTACAAGAATGTGTATCTCCCATTTCCATATGCCACTGGTTCAGAAGTAAATGTGTCCAATGTAAATTGTAGAAAAATCCTATGTGTTTTCAATGGGAAATGTATCGCCTTTGGGGCACGGTTTTACAGCAAGATTAAAAGCTTTGCATATATATACTGCACTGAATCATAATGATGTTGCATAACCTTTACCTACGTCAGAATAGAAAACCATATTTGGCTAAAAATAAATACAAAAGTTTAACCTTGAAGTGCGCTCGAGAACAAAATATCTAATCTTCTGAAATACACATTCACATTTTCTTCAATCAGCTTTTAATAATGATGTAATAAGTATTTTCAGCGTGATATAGAATGATCATTAATTTTTATTTATATGTCGCCAACAAACAAAAATTATGATCGTTTTTACGTGAAATTTGGCACACTCAACGAAGAAAGTGAAGTGAACACACCTTGAAACTTAAAAGCTTTTGCAAGTTGGAAGCATACTTAAAGCTACAAATTTAGCATCGATCGTGAAAAGTACTTATTTGTTTATTATATGCTAGCGCACGTACATTTATTATTACCGGCGAAATATAATTAAATAAGAATAATTATATAATTATTTTCGCTGAAAGACAGCTGTTTTTCCCCAGCCAGACTATTAAAATTTTACAGTGTAAACTTGAAAATAAAAAAATCAATTAAATAGATAATTGTTTTTCAATGAAAAATGTATTTTATATTGACTTGCAAAACAGCAATCGATCATGCATATTAAATATTGACAGTTATTGGTAATTTTTCGATCAACTGAAAAAGTGTATAGTTGATCTATAGATATGTACATATGTATGTACTGCCAACTTAAACAGATTCCAATCAGATCTCTACTTTCATGTATTACTAAATAGTACGCTTACGTATGTACCTATTCTTGTTCTTATTTGGCACTAAATTATTTTTATTTGTTTTATTTTTAGCTATTAGTACAATTTTTAACGATTCTTCTAAGAGTTTTGAGGTTTTCTTTTTGCTATAACTCGTTCAATGAAGCCTTCCTGATCGTCAATTGTTCTTGGTTATGTACACCAATAAATTAACATATCCCCACAGAAAATAGCCGAGTAATATTAAGTCCCATGATCTTGCAGGCCGGTATATGGACTGCAGCTCCATGCTGTTGGAACCACCTTTCGGCTGGGGATCAATGTTTTCCATCTTTTGAAACAAAAAAATCATTAATCATTGTTCGATAACATATTCCATTGGCCGTAACGTTAGCTCTAGCCGCATTTTTGAAGAAATATGGTCCAACGATACCAGTATGCAAATCACACGAAACAGTCAGATTTTCTGGTTGAAATAGTGCTTCCGCTAACTGTTCAGGATTCGTCACACTACAAAATCTGCAATTTTCTTTATTGACGAAAATATTCAGACAAAAAGTAAATAGCTGCTGATTATTTTGACCACAAGTTGAAATTAATAGTTTGAAAATACAGTTTTTTCTTGGGAATGCACAGGTTTTTTTTTAAGTTGGCAACACTAAAATCAGCAAAAGCTTGACTAGAAACTTGTATGGAAAAGTAACAGTATACCAAGAGATTAGAATTAAAATCCGCATAAAAACTTAAATATTTCCAAGAGTAGATACCCACTACTCATCTACTACATAACGCCCGCTTTAATATGCTTTCTTGCAAGTTTTGCATTTTCTGTTAACATCTAAAAAAAATACCAAAAAATAACAGCCATAAATATCTACCATCGGAGCGTTTAGAAATCGAAAAAAATAAAAATAAAATAAAATATGGCATGCAAAGTGAACTAAGGCAAATGCGAGAGCGCATCATGCTGCCAAACCGAAGATGAATCGTATTGAGGCGTTGGTGCATTTTTGTGTACAAGTATATTTTGGCGCTCACCGCCGGCAGTGACAGCAGCAACAGCAACAACATTAGAGTGTGCACATTAAAAAGTCTGCTACCCCCCGGTCATCGAAAAAGGCACAAATCCATAGTATTTATGTATGTATATAAACTTATACATACATATGTATGTGCATACAGTGGCGAAAATATAAATAGGGAAGAGACATTTTAGCATTCTTTGTAGCTCGTTGTCTAACAAAAACCATGTAAGTCAAAATTTCAGACTTTGCACAAAAATTAGGAAAATTCGACAAAGTTTCATTATTAGATAAATAAATCATTGTTATTTAGGATAAAAAAAAGAGAAACGTATTTTTTTTTATTTTGAAATTAAGTTTTTTTAGAGGTCGCGCTGGTCGGTTTTTTCTCATTTTTTTTTTTATTTTCTTGACATGTTAAAATTCAGGTAAAAATGTGGTTTTTGCATAGAATTACTCTGGTATTATTGGGGAACATTCCCTTAATTACATACCTGTCTTGGGTAGTTAGAATGGGCCTAATGCCCGAAAATATGCTCTCGAAAAGAGACTACAAAAATTGAAACGTTGCTACTGAACGATTTACGCGATGTCATGGGTTGGAACTTGTTATCAGGGGGTTTCAGGGGTTGATAATTAGGAATCTTAAGTCAGTTTTTCAAAATTTAAAATGGCGGATCCAAAATGGCGATTAATTTTTTTTTTTAAATTATTGGATTGGTTTGAAACCCCGCACTCGGGAGTTTTTGAGGTCGCCGATTACGAATCTGAAGTCAATTTTTTTAAATTAAAAATGGCGCATCCAATATGGCGATCAAATTAAAAAAAAATATTACTAAAATTAAAACGTTTATAATGAACGTTTTAAGCATTTTCAAGGGTTGAAACTCGTTACCAGTGGGTTTCTGGGGTTGCTGATTACGAATCTGTTTTCAGATTTTCACAATTCAAAATTTGTCTTCCCTATTTATATTTTCGCCACTGTATGCCCATATGTATGTGGCCGCATGTTGTAAATATGTAGCTCTCATTGGACAACTGAAGGCATAAAATTGTTAAATTTCTTTCTTAAGGCTGGTTTTCACTATGACAAATGCAGTGGCATTTGTAAGTGAAAACACATTGTCAAATGAGATCAAAAAGCGGTTTATCGATTGATTTGGATCAGGTTAGGTTTTTGGTCGTGTACATGCACTTCGAAATCGGCTATCTGTCAATTTTTGGCCCATAATATCATCGGCAAAGGTATGGATAAAGGAGATAAAGTTATGTCAAAATATGTCGCCAAATTTTTGTGTCAAAATATGACATAGTGAAAACCAGTCTTTACAATTTCGTATTACATGTTTACATATACATACATATACATATGTATTTATTAAGGAATGCCGCTTTGATGGCTCTTCCTCACGTTCGCTCATTCCACACAAATTATTTTTTTTTTTACTAAATTGTAGTATCCAACAACTGTTTGTTTACTCAATGAAATACATATGTATTAAACTTTTGTTTATATCAATACAAGCAAATTCATGTGTATGTATGTGTGTTTATTGTTTTAGCCAACAACTCACCTAACCTAACTTCTAACAGCAGCGCTGCGCTCCATTAACGTGCGTTGGTTGTAGTACCTAACATATTTTTGGGCTGCATTGGTTTCCATTTCAGTTAACATTTATACATATTTGCGTAGAGTTTGGGTTTGTTTTCAGTTACCTCCCTCGGTCATTAGCACGGTACTCTAAGCCAAGCGCAAGTGTGTTGTGGCCAAAATATGTATGTAGAATTTATGCGGCAACTTCACGCCATATCTCACTGCATTCTTCACCAACTTTTGTTTGTACCGTTGTTTCTTTTTTTGTCATTTTCCAACCAACGCCACTTGCAATGCCAGTTAGACGGAGACAACTATCGCTAGCTGCACTGAATCATACGTATACTAACTACTTCATTGTGGTTAGGTTATGTTGTGTACGTTTAAATTTTGTTTATTACATTTTCTTGTCGAAACCAGAAGTAGTGCCTGCTCGTAGTATTTGAGTAGTGTGTTGCCGTAAGTTTTACTTGTTGAGTGACATAGCCGCGCCGCACCTGAAATGGGCGCGCGAATGTATGAGTGGGAATCAGTGGGAGTGAGCAACGGTTTTTGGCGCACTATGCTTGGCGCTCATTCGATGACGGAGCTCTCAAGTGACCCGACTGGAAATTACTGTAACCGAAAAAGGAGAGTGCAATGAATGTGCCTTGCAAAATTTAACCAAAAATCGCATAAACGGATTTTGAGAAAATAAAAAGTAATTTTTACCTTTCTGTCTTGTAAAAGTTTATCTTCTCTCCCTAGAGATTTAACTGCCTTTATGTTCTTTATAAGACAGTTTTCTAAGGTTTTTCGTTCCATGGACAATCTATCTCTGTTGGATTATACTTACGACGACCATTCGTGCAGATTTTGACGGGACAGTATCGATTTTGGGAAAATTGTTCGCCCGAATATTTTTTTTATAGTCGGGACGAATAACTGTCCCGATTTTTAATATTTGCACCTATTAAACCGCGATTTTCAGCGTAATTTAACAAGCGTTTCCCTGTACTCTGGCCCAAAAACCATTTTTTCGAACAAATGTGCTGCCAGCACTTTCGTTATCAAAAGAACATCCTTATTTCCTATGATATTTGGTTATGTTTTATTCTGTCAAACTGGTACTCTCGCTATATTGCAGTCTACAATTCTTGTCGAAATATTTTTTAAGGTTTTTACAATTATTTCTTAATTTTTTTAATCGCCTTAATAAAGGAGGAGGTTATCAATTCTTCGGAATTTTTTATTTTTTTTTTTTTATGTACGTTAACCGATTTTCTTTTTTTAAAGGAAAGGTTGTGCTTCAGAAGGGGTCCCATACTAATTTGGGTTAGATCCGACAATTGGATTATGAAGAAATTAACGGTAACATTAAATTTTTATGTAAGAATTGAAGTCTATTTTGTTTTTTTGCGTAAAAAATACTTGTTTCCTTAATGAAGTTCTGCCAACGCTGTCCATGCCGTAATTTTTAATATAATCTTTGCCACTAGTTCGCTAAAATAAGCAACACTTACCTGAAATAGTAGAACATAACGGCAGTCATTTTTGCATACCTACCTAAAAAAAAGCTCTCTTTGGATTATGACGGTCCTCTAGCAAACGAGCGACACATATAAAATCTACCTCGGAACTTTATTTTCTGTTACGATTATTCACGTCTTTTTTGGGCTTACCTCATTTCTAGCCCTGACGCTGCCATCTGTCCATGCTTTTATCTCGACAGGGATGGGATTTGAGTTGTTCTTAGCCTTTTCGTAGACCAGAAGGTCTTAAGTCTGTACTAAATGTAATTTTTCATGCATGAGGCATATTTATTCCAAGAGGTAGTCGTTTACCCCATTTTTTACGTACCAATTTCTTTATAATAGATACATATTTTTTTGTCTGGGTTAATTAATATCTTATAATCCATTAATTGATTTATATACTTAATTCAGTTTTTGCCAACCATAGGTCGAGTTATAATCAAAGAAGGTAAATTAGGAACGAAATAATGCCATGCCTGGGTGCATCCTGAATACCTAAATTTTAAATTCTTGAAAACTCTTCTAAATATTTGCCCATAAATTTGTTCGAAAAATTTCCCTCTATCATCTCGTTCGATGGATTGTGAGTCATAGACGAATAGAGTAGTATGTATACTCAAGTCAGTATATTTCATCTCACATATGGTCCCTTCAATTCTCACTCATGTTAACAAGCAATAATTGCGAAATTGAATTAGTCACATTTAAGATCGCGCAGATCAGCTGGTACTCAACGACAGCTGCGTAATGTAATTATGATTATTGGGCAAAGAATGAGCTTAGACAAATCTAATGAATCATTTAACCCCGTCGACTTCACAAGCCATTGATTAATACGTCGACGCCTTTTGCGGACAACTCAGCGTTCGCAATGCCCACTTAAGATGGGCAGTAAAAAAAAAATTGACTTTGTATTGTTAATTTAATGGAGGCAATTTGTGAGCAATTGGGGGAACTCAACGATGGAAGTGATTTGACGCTACAGAGAAAAACTGAGCGCAAAATTATTTTTTAGCAGATACACGCTCTTTACATTTAAGATTTATTTTGGAGTATCAACAGACCAACTAAATACTAATTATTCCGCTTTTTCGCTCTTCTTTTTCACAGCAAAGATCGGCATATTCTACACAGTCTTCTATGGCGTGTTGGCCGCACTAGTGGCCATTTGTATGTGGGTCTTCTTTCAAACGCTTGATCCGCGCATACCCAAATGGACCTTGGATAGTTCCATAATCGGCACAAATCCAGGTGAGATGAAATATTTCAAATAAACACTCTCAACTATGTTGCTAAGGTCGCGCAATTCTTAATAGGTCTTGGATTCCGCCCTTTACCGCCAGCGGACAATGTGGAAAGTACACTGATTTGGTACAAAGGCACGCAGCACGAGAACTACAAGCACTGGACCGATTCGTTGGATGATTTCTTGGCAGGTGAGCCCACATCACATGCGCCTAATTTATTTTATATGACTTTCTCCTAAAACTTCGCCGCTTTCCTATTTGCAGTCTACAAAGTGCCTGGCTTAACACCTGGCCGCGGTCAGAACATCTACAACTGTGACTACAATCAACCGCCACCAAAGGGACAAGTTTGCGATGTGGACATTAAAACGTGGGAGCCTTGCACTAAGGAGAATAACTACAGTTATCACAAGAGTTCACCATGTGTATTCTTGAAATTGAATAAAATTTATGGCTGGATACCTGAATTCTATAATGATTCAAAGGATTTGCCGGTTAATATGCCAACGAGCTTGAAAACTTACATCGCTGAAATTGAAACATCGCAAAGTCACAAGGTTACTGTTGCATAACTAGTGTTACTTTTCTTTTTACCTATAAAGTATATACAATCACTAAAAGATATTACTTTTTTACAGTTGAACACCATTTGGGTCTCATGCCAGGGCGAGAACCCCGCAGATGAAGAGAATATTGGTCCAGTCAACTACTTGCCAATTCGTGGCTTCCCCGGATATTTTTATCCCTATCAGAACTCAGAGGGTTACCTCAGTCCGCTCGTGGCTGTGCACTTCGAGCGACCGAAGCGTAGGTTTATTTAAGTAGTTATTGAAAAACTTAGAGTCCGATAATTGTGTGTAGAGCATTTGGCTTTACTGATGAATGCATAAAGTTGCCATAATGTTCCTGCGCTTAGATCATCAGTTATTTCAACAATTACTTAAAAAAAAAAACTTAGATAAGATATCTATTAGATATAAAACTCAGGCACTTAACAGGCTTCTAAAATAGATACGAGTACTTCAAACTGCTGGAGCCAAAAAACGTAGGTTAGGTTAGGTTAGGTTTTGGTGGCAGAGCCACGAAGGGGGCTCACTTAAACATCTAATAGTCCATTGTGATGCCACATTACACAAATTTTTAGAACGGTAACTGTGTTAAAAACTAAGAGAAGCGCTGAATGCTCACAACAAAGTTCCGCAGACAGCTGATGTCCACTCCGGAGAGCCCCTCGGGAGTGTTGAAGAAATGCGCACCGAACTGCATAAACATTAATCTAGCGAAAGTCGGGCAGTTGAGGAGGAAGTGCGGTCGGTACACCTGTAAGAATCGAGAGCTGGCGCTTAGCCAGCTGCAGTAGCTCCCTTGACCGCCAGCGGACCCCAACCGGCCAGAAGGACCTTGCAGCTTTGCAAGTCGGAGTTTTTGCCCAGCACTCGCTGAGCCGACTGTAAGTCCATCTGCTCAGTAGCAGACCGCAGGTTGCCAAAGGAGCTCCTATTCCCTCCCTATCCGAGGTGATGGCCTCACGGGTGCCCTGCTTAGCCAGTTAATCAGACCCGCAATGTCCAGTGATATCTCTGTGACCTGCGAACCAGATCAGCTTGATCTGGAAGTATTCCGAGGTAGTTGAGAGAGAGGCCAGACATTCCCCAACCAGTTTTGAGCATACCATTAGCGATCCCAGCACCCTGATTGCCGCCTGGCTATCAGTGTAGATATTTACCATCCTCCAAAAACGTAACCGAAAAGAGTTTCGAACACGAATATGTGTCCATTGGCCTTAAAGCGGCAATGGGCACTGCCTTGCCTGCGAGCAAAGCTCTTTTAAGCTTTCTATATATTTTGTGTAGGCGCAATCGGAGTAAACAGGGTTGCTTAAGTAGCATAAAGGAAATTTTACCCGACTGGAGCGTTTTTTCGCCACTCGTTTACAAAAATACAAAGCTATGCATATTTGCATGCTCGTTAATCCCAAGAAAAGCAGAAGCAAACTGTTACTGGGCCGTTAAATGCTGACCGTTAAATACGCCACTAAATAATAAGAAAGTTTCATCAAAATTAAATCTTTTTTCAGAATTTTTAGTAAAATTTTAAGTTTGGATTTTAATAGCTTACGGTTCTGGGCATTTTCTTCCACTTGCATAGCTAAAGTATTAAAAATCAATGTGAATTTTTAGACACTTGGAACTTGCATTTGTTTACACTAAAATTCAATTTTTTGAAGAAAATTTCCTTAGAAATTTAAACTTTTACTTTTTGTATTCTTTGTCGTTTTTGGGTCACCCTATAATTTCTTTGAAGGAACAGGAAAATCGATTTATTTCCTAATTTACTCGGACTCTTCTGTTTTTTTCCCCCTTTTTCTTTTTTTGTCCAAATCACTAATAAACTGATCTCGCTTTACAGGCGGCATCATCATCAATGTCGAATGCAAGGCATGGGCACGCAACATCATCCACGATCGCAAGGAGAAACTAGGTTCCGTACATTTTGAGTTGCTGATCGATTAACAGAGTGTGGGCAAGATTTTTAATATTTACAACGTTTAAAAACCACCAACGCGTTCGCGAACGATGGTCACATACTACGAAGGCGCACATAAATACACACCACACAAAGCGCAAGTGCGAGTAGCATAGATTTTCAGCATTATTGTAAAACATAAAAATTTATACATAAACACATACATAAGTATAACTATTAAAAATTAAGGAGCTATGCAGTCGAACGATTACTCTCTATTATATACATATAAAAAAATATGAAAAAAAAAAACATAAAACACACACATGCATACCGAAATTTGTAAGATAATTAATGGGTTCTATGTATATTTATGAAAATTGCTGCTGTATATTTTTTTAATTTAATTTATCAACTTTATTGCTGTTAGTTTATGTGTTTTCTGTTTGTTTATCTTTTAAGTTGATTATGTCATTACATATGTGTAAGAAAAAGAAAAAAAAAAGAGGAAAACAAATTATAGTACATAACCAATGCGTTATACCAAATGATTGCATGTAATTTTTTAGTCTACTTTGAACAACTTTGTCCCTATATCCAGTACATACACTATATGCCACATATGGGAGAAGTATGTAGATACATACATACATGAAATAATTTACAATCTTTCGACAATCCTAACTTCTTCTAGACAAATCGTGAAACTTTAAATGAAGTACATACATATAGTTACATAATTATAAGTAAAATCACAATCTTGGTTGTATAAACATAGCGGGCATTTTAAATATACATGCGTACATATATAAACGGACACTAAATAGTATGTGTAGTCTCCTCTAAAAATCTAAAGTATGTAGCTCCATCCTCGGTAACACAACCAAAGTAGATATAAATAAATAAATGTATGTAAAACATGGTTACATACATATAATAGACAAATACACAAGCATATATTTATTATTGTATTTTAAGTTAACTGCCATTACTTTTTCGAACATTTGCAGTAATGATCCGCTTAGAATTAGCTGCACAGTTTTTAGGTTTCCAAGCGAAAAAATTAGCTATCTCATGTACCAGGACTTTCAAATGGGTCCCAGATGATAAAAAATGTTGTTAAAAAAAATTTGGAATTTGAAATTCGGAATTTGGTGTCCAAGTATCTACATTTTACATTCTGCAATCGAAGTTCAAGTAAAAAACTGCACAATACCTGTGAAATTATATGTTAAGAAAGTGGTTTCTTGTTGGCTAAAAGTTCCAGTAAAATTTTTTTAAAACGAATGCAAACATCAGTGCCAGTACAGATTTATTACAATAAAAAATTAGTAAAAATAAATTTAAAAAATAAAAATTAATTAAAATTAATTTTTGTCTTCTGGATTAAATTTCGTATAGGCTATGTGAAATTTAAGGAAAAAGCGCCTTTTTCAAAACCATATTCAGTGACGTTTATTTCTCAAATACCCCTGTGAATATCCCAGAAATTTAACATTTTTTATCTACAGTGGCAATACTTAATATTCGAGATTGCTAGGCATTTTGTTTAAAATTTTAAAGAAAAAAAACTTCTTCAGCGATGCATATTTGGGGAAATTTTTTAGTATGCAAAATATTGGGATCGATAAATCGGGATTTTTTACCAGATCAACAGACAATTGAATGCAAAAAGGTGGCTTTACAACAATTTGTTAAAGTATTTAAGACTTCAAAATCGCCAGTTTACATAACGAAAATGCTTATAGATTTTTATTTGCTGAGCACAAATAATAAATAAATAGTAATTTGCGGTACTTTAACTAGATTCTCTGCACTTTTGTAAAAATTTCAACCCTTGGAGTTTCGGTACTGCAAATCGTGGCTTTAGGTTTTTAGTATGTATTTGGACGGAAAATTTGTTCAAACAATTTTGCTGAGGTGCATTTTTTTAACTTTAATTTTAAATTTTGAATTCAGTCGCGGACAAAAAATTTTCTATTCGTCGGATATTCGGAGAATTTAGAAATTTTGTAGACTCAAATTTTAAGAAATTGTTGAGGTATTTTCTTCTTTAGGCACCAATTAAAATAGTTTGAAATTTGTTTATAGACATACACAAGTATATATGTATGTATGTTCATTAAGAGGCTCTTTAAAATATCAACGTCTAAGTTTTGTCTGTCGGCCGCTGTGGTGTAGTGGTAAGCAGTGCGCGCTTCCACTCCGCAGCATCTGGGTTCAAACCCTGGTCAAAGCAACATCGCAAAAAATATAGAAAAAAGGTTTTTTCTTAACAGCGGTCGTCCCTCGGCAGGCAATGGCAAGTCTCCGAGTGTATTTCTGCCATGAAAAACAGCTTCTCATAAAAATACATTCGCCGTTCGGAGTCGGCGTAAAACTGTAGGTCCCTCCGCTTTGTGTGACAACATCAAGGCGCACGCCACAAATCGGAGGAGAAGCTCGGCCAAACACTAACATATGTGTAAGCGCCAATCTATTATTATTATTAAGTTTTGTATAAGGTTTGCGTACAAAATAATGACATTCACGTAAATTTCAAAATTTTAAACAAATTTTATGGGGCCGCTATCAGGATTTGAAAAAAAAAATGAATTTTTTTAAATCGTAACATTCGAAAAAAATTGTAACTTTAAATTTGATAAATTTGAAATATTATTGAAGCTTATTCACATAAATTCATAAACTCGCTGGATTATAGCTGGTCAAAGTCAAAATTTTTTCAAACCCTGACCCTAAAATTTGTTATTATATTTTGAAAATTTCGTGTATGTTTTTATTTTTTACGTAAACCAAATATTTCAATGACCACCCAAATGTGCATACATACATAAATATGTATATCATATGGGAAAAATTGCATATTTTCGATTCGTACGAATAAAAGAATATGTCCCATACTTTGAAACTTAATAAAATTTACAAATTTGCTTCTTATAAACTTACGAAACAAATTATGCGTTCGAAAAATCAAAAAACTAAAATAAAATTTAAGCCTAGAATTTTTAAGTTCAGGATTTATCGCATACCTTGTATATTTGTAACTCTAAAAAGACATGTCCAGCAGCAGCAGAGCCTACAAAGAAACAAAAAAAGAATAATGCATATAAGGGAATCACTTCATGTTAATACACTTTTTGTTTTTGTAAATTAATAATTATTTAATTTGCTTAGTCTTAAAATTAAGAAGAAAAAAATTCCTACATACATACATACGTCTGCATAAAGAAAAATTTTGACGTTTTCGTTTCTACCAAAAAAATGTTGCCCCTTCTTGACCCTCTTTGAACAAACGCTAAGGAGAGGGCACTGAGATGTGAAAATTTTTCGGTAGAAAAGAAAACATCATTAGTGTTGTGAATGGTTATGTCGCCAACAACGTCGCACTATGGGTTCCTGCGTGGAAAAAATTCAAAAAGATGAAAACTTAAAAACTTTTTTTTTCATATTTTGTATATTTAGCATTGCATGGGGGCTTCGAAAAGCTGAATCTAATTTCTTTGTATGCTATAAACTCTTCAAGGACTTCATATGTCCTTATTCTTTCAAAAGCTTGATGCAATCTAGATTAAAGAAATTCAAGATGGTGAATACAAAATGGTGAATAAAAAAGTATATAGTCCTTTTTGGAAACTTTTTGCAGTCATTTTTATTTTTCTAAATTCGTATCACATGGTCCGTGAAGTTTCATTATACCAATTTTCAGCTTGATAGGCTAAATGTTTGTGAGATATTGAATTTTTTCCGCTTTTCGTTGATATGGAACCACTGTGCGCCGTTTATAAAACCAACACTTTCATAAAAACCCACACACACAAAAACTGGCAAACTACATACTACTTAGCGGTTAAAAAAAAAATAAAATCAAACACCTAGTAATGTACAAGTAGAATGAATCCAAATGATGGTCCCAACTATTTGATAAACAAATTATTGTAAGTTAAATAAATAAACACGTTATACGTTAGAAGTATAAAGTTAACTGAAGGTCAATAAAACTATTAAAAAAAAAAACTAACAACAATAAGAAAGTCTTCTTCAACATTATAAACGCTAAGGGCATGAGTTCACCTACACAAGTACATACATACATACATATGCATGAACGTACATTATACCGCACCACAAAAAAACATCGCTTCTAATTTAAAATATTTTTGCAAGGCAATTTCGAACAAAAACTTTTTTTCTCAGTTCTTACCACCCTGATATAAGTTAATTAAAGCTCGCCAAAAATAATTAAACTTTTGCTAATGAAGTAAGTATTTCGTTTATTCCAGCAAGAAAAGGTGATCCCTAGGAACGGAAATAAGTATGTTTCAAAATTGCTTCGGAAAATACTTTACACTAAGAGGTGTACGGCGAATTTGTTTGCCTCTAAGGTGTTGCGGTCTAATGTACATATAAGTAGTATATACATACATATTTAGTCAAATCAATACAATCCGAAGTGCGTTAAAAAAGTATCAGCAAAATTATGCGCATACAAAGACAATTCATTTACTTCGTATTTGTTTTAATAAGTTTTTGTTTTTAACTTAATTTCGTAACTCGCACAACAAGCCATACTGATAAGATAAACTCAAATCGAAAATTAAATCGGTATAACCGCCAACCGGCAACGAGATAAATATCTCCAAAGACGTAAGCAGCTCATACTGGTTATGACAGCTAGCAACTTTTAGACACTTATCACTTTTAAGTAAAAAAAAAAAAAAAATTGCCTCACATGAAAAGGCAAAATACTTAAGTTGAGCTAATTTTAATCAACTGCAGGTACTCGATGTACGTAAATAAGTAAAAAAAAAAACACTTATTGCCTAACAATTAGCAGTGATTTTAAGGCCAGCGACAAGTTGTCGAAGAAACAAATATGATAAGCTAAAGTAGACACTTTAAGGGCCGTCTCTTCAACTTTAAAGCTCACTTTATATTTAAAGATTGGATTAAAGATAAAGCTATGTCTAAAGTTAAGCATTTCTCTTATCGGTTTTCGACGTATGTATGTTTCTTGGTTGTAAACCAATTTAAACCCGATAATAAAATGCCTTACTTTAGAGACAATCATAAATTTGAATGCAACCTTTAAATATAAAGTGAGCTTTAAAGTTACAGGTTACTTGATAAGACCGCCGTAAAACTATTTATAGTATTTTTCTTCTTCATGGCTGGCGCTGCAACCGCTTAAGCTATTTTCGCCGCTATTTTTCTATGCCAACAGAGGTCAATTAGAAATGCCAAGTGAGGTTAAGTCCTTATCCACCTGATCTCTCCAGGGCCAACAGGCTCGCAAACAATTTTAATTTTTTACTTAACATGTATTTCATTTAAATTTTGGCAGCTGACTGCAAATATACAACCTAACTGCTGATAGTTTAAACTCGGTTTAACCCACCTAGATTGGGCGTTAAAACTTAGTTTAAACTACGTTTAAACTAGCCAGAAAAACCACACACTTTATATGGTACATTTTATCAAATCAAAGTTTGGTAAATAGCCAAGAAAATTTGTATTATTTTGAGTGATATATCGTTACCTAAAGGTTAAAAGGTGCCAAGTCCATTTTTTTTTTAAGTTGTTTCGGAGAGACAAAAAATCTATGTAGTTTTGCATTACCTGTCATTCTGCATTAAAAAATAAATTTTGAAAAAAATGGCCTTGGCACCTTTTCTACTTTAGGTAGCGATATGTATTTAAAAGCCGAAGTTTTGGTATGCAAACCATGAGCTGAGTGTTCCAATCAAATTCAATATCTACTCTTTTTTTTCTTGCTCCACAGCAGTTTGTCTATTTGTGCCGAATCTGAAAAACTTCGGCAATCGCTTCTGCCCTTTGCAATTTGCATTTATTCATACTTGCTCTAGATTTCTCTTCATAGAGCGGCCTTCGCCACACTCTTGTCCGCAAAGTTTCGTCTCTCTAAGTCGTTTTTTAAACTTGAAAGCCGGTTCCGGACTGAAGGTTAGCTAGTCGATTTCTGTAAATCTCGTACATTTTAAAGCATCCCTAGCAACGCGATCGGTGTAAATAGGACGTCAACTTGCCACTTACCTGACCCACTAAATAAACGTAGCATTGGCCATACATTGTAGTCCCTTTACGCAAGCACTCTATTAATAAAATTGCTTGGCTATACTACAAAATGGTAGCCATCATCTTCGATGCCGGCTATTCCACTTTGAATATCTTTGGTGGCCTTTCTCCGATTTTTATTCCCTGCCTAGACTCGTGCTTAAACTCCGGATTATACTAGCGCATCCAGGATTCACGATCGATTCCAACTCCAAAAAATCTTTACAACTATCCAATCGTGGGTACTTGAATAGTGATGTCAGCATTCGCAATACCCAAAGCGTGCAAATTCTTGATCACAGGCTTCTTCAACGTTTTTGCGCCCTTCGAGAGGTCGCACATGATAACATGATTTCTGTATGTCGATGAAGGGCTATATTATTATAACAGCATAAAAGTAGTCCAAACTATTTTAGGAATGTTGCTGAAGTGACAATCCTTGGCCAGATATACAAATGGGTCATTCCGGTTACGTATGTACCTATACCCAGCTGTAGTGAGAACGAGAGAGCTCTGCTTTTCAATTGTCAACCGAATCCAAAGTAGACCTCTTGATAAGAGAAACATGAATAATGCTTTGGAAGCTGTGTATTGCCATCAGAACTAGAGGTGGTTACCAAAAATCAGAACAATAAGTCAACAGGAAGAGTAGTAAATTCCAATTACTACTAGATTTGACCCAAAGAAGGCTCAAAACGACCCAAACGGGTGAGCAATAGTGGGTTAAAATGTTCTACAAATTTAAAAGCCATTAAATTTTACTATAGACCTTTAAAGAAAAGATTTTTGGTAAAGGTAGTTTTACGCGAGATATTTCAAATAATTTAGATCAACTTGAGACCGACTTAGGAAAACTTCAATACACTGTAAAAAAATAAAAAATTGTGTCGTTTAGGGACAAAACGGCAAGTGGTACAATATTCTAGAGCTCTTTCTCTCTGATAATTACCATACCGCTTTGGTGTCTTTCTTTAATCGTCTCATTTTGTTGTACAGCGCAATATGAGATACAATTGGAAGACATGAAATTAAACGGAAATAATGTTTTATACGGTGTTTACATGAGCCGATTAGTTGAATCAAAAGTTGGCTGCCCCCAACTTCTTTGGAAGCGATCACTTAAAGGCCGTTCACACCGGGCGATTGTTGCTCTCAACTAAAAGTTGCCTGTAAAATCGCCTCAGGTAAACACCGTGTATGAGAATCAACAGTAATCAGTTCTTACAAATTGTATGATTCCCATTATGTACTCCGCGGAGCAATCCATTGGAGTAGTTTTGTGCTACTCTGATGTAATACACAGATGGAGTATATGGTCCAGCCGTAGGACATAGCAATGTTAATTGGACCACATTTTTTATATGCATTTCGGTTAATTTTGGAGTACTTCTTGACCCCTAGGGAGTACTCTTTACATGCGTTCATGGTTAGCTATGAGCGCTACTGTCGCCACTTTGTATTCTCTGATCATGATATTAACAAAATAGGTTCTAGTTAATAAAAGATCACTAAGAAGAGAACCCCACTTGGATATTACGCTGACAAATAAACCTTTTTCGAAAAATAGCAATCTGCATATGTGTGCATATTTATTTATTTATTTATATATTTATAATATACTAGTATGTATTTATAATACCAATGCTTTGGATTTAAAAACACATGTCTACACATAACTAACATAACACATTTCTAAACATAAGTACCCTAGTAATAGCCCTTTTTTGCTATGCTTTTTAAATAATAAAAAATATAATGCGTAAGCCACAAAATGCAAAAACCTGTCGAGCGGGTTTTCAAAATATTTTGTAAGAGTTAAAATGAAATCAAATAAAATACAATTCGATGCAACAAATGTGGTATGAACCCTGCTGTCTATGGTATGAGAAATAACTCGAGGTTGTAGAGGTTAAAATAAATACAAAATCATATAAATATTGAACAAAAAAATCAATCTAATTTATATTTGCACTTTTTTAAAGAAAAAAAAAACTAACAGTAAAC